ATATATATATATATTTGAAAGAATAATAATAAGTTAATTTTTTTTAGAAACTTCCGTTAAAGTATAATTTACTGCTTTTATATTGTGTATTCATCAAGCGCCTCGTTGAATTAAGATTACACATCGAGTAAAAGGTATTTCCTACAATCTATTCAGCTGTAACGCAGTACTTCCTTTCTAACGAGAAGTCGGCGTTTATCAAATCGAGGATAAACGGAGTTTACAACTTATACCAAGCAGCTTGTCTGTCCCTTTGCCGTTAGGAATTCCTCTCGCGACTCGTTTCGTATTCCTTCCTTTGCGATTTCACGACAAGATCTAAATAAGAAGATATGCTAACAAGAAAGTGTAGAGCTTGTAAACATCAAGCATATGTGTATTTAAATATATAACGTAAAATTACTGATGAAGATCTGTTTACACTTAAGCATTTATAGTATTTTGAGGGTTAATTATCCTTTATAATTAACGTCTTAAAAAAAGCGTTTAAATCTAATTGTATCTTAAACTCACGATACTATCTTAGATAACTAAGAACTAATAAAAACTCACGAATTAGTAAAACTCTTTTAATTTTTCTTTCTTTCTTACTTTTAATTATTCTACTTTACAGAAAATGTAAAATTGAAAAAACAGAATAACTTTATAAAAATCATTTTGTATACGCTTCTCATAAAAAATTATAACGAAAATATTTGAAAGCAATGTACGTTTTTTTCTTGCATATATAAATAATCTCTGTATATAAAGTACATTGCCAATACATAAGATACATTCTATGTGTTGTTGCTGCAGAGAAAAGGAAGATCATGAAGAACCAGGAAATCGGTGAAGCAGAACGCTCAGACAAACTTCCGATTCGAAGAACTCCAACTGAGTTTGTTTTTTAAATACATACATTCCTGAAACTATTGAGCTTTAGATTTTCAATTTTTAGATCACAATTAAAAAAATATATACTGTATAACTAGTCACACAAAATACATATTAATTAATATTAAGTTATCATATTTAGCACTTAAAATTGCTTGAAAAAATATAATTAAACAAAAACACGTACATATTACAAAAATTATTGCGATAAATTATTATATTACGCTAAACAATGTAACACTTTTTATAAAAGTTATAACAACAACAAATTCTTGTTACTTTTTGTGTGTGAATTCTAAATTGAAAATTATCACGTAAATATTGATATTCTTTTTTCCATTTTCAGAATATAAATTTTAGAGGACAAAAACTATATTTATTTTTACTAAAACTATAGTTATTTATATCTTTTTTTTTCATTCTGTAACATTGATGTATCTTGAAGTATATACCATAAAGAAACTGTATTGAATTTATTTTGTGTACCTAACTTTCGTTATGTATTTCGTATATAAAAACTTTAATGCCATTGCTGTTATTTACAAAAACCAGTTGCAGCAAAGAAAAACTAGAATAATATAATATATATAGAGTATTGAAATTTAAAACCATTCACTGGTATTGTTTTTGTAATTTAATTAAATAATACTATTGGCAGATAGTGTATCGGTTTCTTGTGAGACAAAGAAAGTCTTTAACTTTCTCCATTTGTTTGTATCACGTTAGATTTATGTTAATCTTTTCTTAGATCTCGTATCCAATTTACTTCTAAAAACATACGAGATCGAAAACATCGTTTTATGCAATAAAAATGTTAGTCTAGGAAATTTATAAATTATGAGCACGTATACTCGTCCTTGCAGTCCAAATTTCGCAACAGTATTACGAGCGGTTTGCTTGCGGCGATACATCAGCCTATATGACTCTGTGGTTGGCGTTCTATAAATACGTACCACAGACAATTTAAAAATGCAGTGACAGTAATAGCGAGCGCTACATTGTAACCGCGTTAAAAATATTTTTAGCTCCCCGTCTCGTTGTCTTAAAAGCACGAAAAGATGTCAGAGTAAAGTGCTGCGGGCTCCGGCGTGTTCCGGTGCGTAGCGAAAATCGAACTAGGATTACCGAGACCGGTGTTGCAGGTGTATACATATGCATAAACGCATCGCTAAACCGGGGGACATGGGAAAGGCGATAGACGCCACGCTGTTTGCGGTAGCCAGCGGAACGGATGAATGCGAATCGAACGTAACATTCACTCGACGCGACGTGTGAATGAAGCGACCGAGTAACGCGGATAGAAACTCCATTCAGGCTCGCTACTGGAAAAAGCAAGCGCGACTGTATCGATTGCGATCAACATCAAGTTTGATGTGGGGACCAACGAACACCCGGAGCTTTGTTCAAACGTTTGCTTACACCCTTGCGCAGTCGAAATATATGCGATCTTAATTATTAACTTTCTGACACAAGACAAATGTGCGCTTCTTTTAGATTGTTTCTTGAAACGGTTGGAGAAACAGAAAAGTAGCAATAATGCAATACAAAGAAAGTGCAATGAAAAAATTTGTCAAAAATATTTTTAACAGTAGATATAAATTTATTTAAAGCAGCCTTTTCTCTTCAGAGGGAACAACAATTGTCACTATCAATGCGATAACTGTGGAATAAAAAGAATCTAGCAATACCGGATGCTTTTCCAAACACATCATACACAATTTATGAAACTTCCTCTCTCGACATAAATTAACGTGACCTTTATTTTCACGCTAGCTTATTCAAACACCGATAGGCTCTGCGCTTGTGCATCATGGGGCAATGTTTTATCAAGTGCGGATGCCTGAAAAGCCTCGAGAAATTTTTAGCGGGTACAGCTGCCCTGAATAATGAGTTTGGAAATACAGTGCAAACCTTGCGCAAAATTTTTGATCTGTATGCTAATAGATTGCGTTGTATATTTTATTTTAAGAAAATTAAATAGCTGCTGCTAAAAATAATTAACTCATGAAATTTTATATTATAAAAGTTGATTATGGTATAAATTTATGTGTACTTGATAAATAAAGTCATACACATATATTCACGATTATTTGATAGAATAAAGGAATAACAAGCAAAATGAATGTGTTTGAAAAATGGTAAACAGTTTCCGCAGTGTTAAAAAATTTTTAAGCAATATTTAGGTGCAAATATAAAAAAGTAAGACAAAGAATTATACATTATCATATTCGAGCTTAATGCCTTCGTCCAAGTTAAGTTTAGGTTTAAATCGTTACAGGTTCCGGAATCGTTTCTGTTGAGTAAAGTCTCACGAAGTTTTAATGAAATCATAACCGGGAGATCCCGCGCGAAGTTATGCTCTCTTCGACATATTCCTCCTTTTGCTGCTTACATACAGCCTCAGACAATATCAGAACTTTATACGAAGTTCGTTAATATTTTTTATGAAAATAATTAAATTAAAGTTTTCATGAAAGATAGCAAGTAATATTAATTTTATTAATTTTGTCATGTTAAAGATGTATAATATCAATATACGCAATTAAAGATAAGAAATTATTAACAAAATATATTAAAAATAACACTGAGATTATAAAAATTCGCATAATCATTCCGATCATAAATTAGTATGGTCATCAAAATACGGTTTGAAATATGAACGGATGAAACTGGCTGACCCTATTTTGTGCCGTTGTTAATTTCGTCACACTTTAATTTTGTTATACATATATTTTCATAATCATGTTCGTGTATTACACGTATGTGCTCATACGGTTCTCTGTCATTCATATCAATCGAGCAATCGCGAATAAATTATTTATAAATTCCTCTCTGAATGAATACACCATCGAATTTCATCGTTGACATTTCGCGTGCCCATCACGGCCATCACGTAGCGAAGATGATTAAAAGTCGATACCTCCGGGTATGATTTTTTCCATTCTCTCATCGCTGTACGATTTCGCGATACAGCAATAAAAGTTAAAGCGTGATTGAATGTCATATAAAATAGCTTTGCACCGTGTTAATATTTATATTACTCCACGCGCGTTTACATTATTTGAAAGATGATAGGTTTTATAGAATTCGGGGAAATTTACGTTCGCTACACGAACTATTGCGTTATTTCGATTAATTAAAATCAT